TCTCCTCTTTCTCCTCCTGACGAGTGAGACCTCCACGATCTGCGCCTACGACCTTCCTCCAAAGCTCATCGCCCCGCCCACGCTCGTCTCAGCTTGACCCTCCATTCTACCCGCCTGTCCTGGACGTGACCGCCTTCTGCACGTGCGCCAGCATGGCCCTGATCATCTTGGCCTTCGCGGTCGCCCAGGAGCCGCGGTCAGCGGCCAGGCACCACTTCTCCTCCATGCCCTTGGAGATCTCCTGGAGGGCCGCCTCGGGCGGACGGGCGCGCCCCTCTCTTCTGCGAGCACCCCCCTTACCCTGGTTCCCAGATCCTACCAGTGCGATCCTCAACCTCCGATTGCTCATGCTAGCCCTTGATGCCCCTGCCTTTCTCATCCTCATCCTTCCCCCTGATGTATCTCATCATGTTGCGCCGTGTTGTGCCCTCGCGCTCCATCCCGCCGCGCTCCCCCTGCTCCGCCCCATCCTCGTGCGTCTCGTCATCCTCCAACTCCCCGCCCATCCTCCTCCGCCTCCTCCTCCTGCCCCCCTGCTTCCCCTCATCCCCCTCCTCTTCCTCGTATTCCTCCTCCTCATCCTCCTCCTTCCCCCAACCTCCCCCTCCTCCGTCCTCTTCACCTCCTCCTCCTCCTTCTCCTCCTCCTCGTCTTCCTCCGTTCCCTACTCCCACTCTCCCCCCTCCTCTCATTCCTCCTTCCTCCTTCCGCCCCCTCATCCTTCCCCTTCTCCTCCCCCTCCTCCTCCTCCTCCTCCTCCTCCTCCTCCTCATCATCATCATTATCATCATCATCATCATCATCATCATCATCATCATCATCATCATCATCATCATCATCATCATCGTCATCGTCATCGTCATCGTCATCCTCATCCCCCTCCTCATCCCGACCCGCCCGAGCTCGCCTCGGCCGCCTTCTGCGGAACGCTGATGGCGCCAGCAGCCCTCGTCTCCACAATCATCTCAATGGAAATCATGTGGGGGGCGACCTCCGAGCCGCCCCCCGACACGACCTCCGTGTACTCGTGGTCATCGGGCGCCTGGAAGTGCTTCTCCCAGATCGCCGTCAGCACGTCCGTGTTCTTGAAACCCACCGGCCGAGGGGCCTGGCAGCACGGTTGCACGCTACACTGCCATTGCTACGCCTCGACGCACTCCTCCTCCTCCTCCTCCTCCACCTCCTCCTCCATGCCTTCCTCCTCCTCCCCCCCATCCTCCTCCCCCCCTCCCCCTCCCCCTCCTTCTCCTCAACGTCCTCCATCTCCTCCTCCTCATCCTCATCTTCCGCCCTTTCATCTCCCTCCGCCTCAGACAGGACATGAGAAGGCATAAACACAATCTCATAGATTCCTCCCTCCTCTTCCTCCGCCTCCTTCTTTCTCTACATCCTCCTTTTCCTTGTCCACTCCTCCCCCTCCCTCCCCCTCCGCTGCCCCATTATCTCCCGCGTCCTCCACTCATCCCCCTCCTTCCTCTCATCGGGCCTTCGGCGCCATGGCGAGCTCGCCCCGCTGGCCGCCAGCGCGCCGCAAAGAAACAAAAAAAAACTGGGCGAGCAAAACAGCTCTGGGCGAGCAACAACTGTTTGCTCATAAGTTGTTTGCTCTTAAGTTGTTTGCTTGTAAGAACAAACAACTTAAGAGCAAACAACTTATGAGAAAACAACTCCAGACCTCCTTTGATGTGGGCAATGTGTGACATGGTGAGGGCAATGCTTGTTATTGAACATCACTATTAAACTAACAATCATAAGCTTATAATAACAAGCATAACATGTACATCGCACGTGAGCTTGATTTACAAGGATTTGAGACCACAGGGGTGCTAGGGGAGCGCCGGCTTCTGCGCAGGATCCTGCAGGATCCTGCAGGATTCGGAGGTGGATAGACCTCCTACCCTGACACGTCGATTAAGGGATTGGCCGTTTTCGGTTCGCGAGGGGGCGTCGCGCCCGTCATGTTTGCGGGTCCAGGTCCGTCGGTTTCGGTCCTGGGCCGTTTTCACTAAGGGGAGGTTCAGTAAAGGGAGGCCTGTCCACCGCCGAGACCCGGGCTTCTGCGCAGGATCCTGCAGGATCCTGCAGGATCTCCCAGGGTCCTGCCGATCCCGACCGACCCAGGCTGGGACCGACCTGAACCTTGGGCCAGGGGCACCTTGAGCAACCCCAGATCCAGGATACCCACTCAGAGAACGAAGAGCGCCGCCCTCCGCCTCCGCCTCCGCCTCCTCCTCCTCCTCCTCCTCCTCCTCCTCCTCCTCCTCCTCCTCCTCCTCCTCCTCCTCCTCCTCCCCCTCCTCCCCCTCCTCCCCCGCCTCGCTCCTCCGCCTCCTCCTTCTCCTCAGCGCCCGAGGCTCGGGCGTCCGCTGGCGGCTCTTGCCTCCGCCGGGCGCCAGCTCGAGGTGCCGGGCCCCACAGCGGTTGGGGGTCGCTCTGGCCACGCAGCCTCGGGAGGTCGGCCCCCCCCCGGCGGCGGGCACGCGGAGGCCTTTGCCCCTCGCCGAGCGCGCCCCGCTGCTCGCAGAGTGCCTGCCCGCAGGCCTCGGAAGTGGAACAAAAAACCACACGTCTGCATCGATGTAGTGTACTTGGAGGCGTTCCCGCAGAGGATGCCCCAGAAGGCTCCGTGGAGGAGGCCTCCTCCTCCTCCTCCTCCTCCTCCTCCTCCTCCTCCTCCTCCTCCTCCTCCTCCTCCCCTCCTCCTCCTCCTCCTCCTCCTCATCCTCCTCCTCCTTCTCCTCCCCCTCCTCCTCCTCCTCCTCCTCCTCCTCCGCCTCCTCCTGTTCCTCCTTTCAAGACCTTTTCAATATCGACCATAAGTCTAATTAAAGACGTTGCCGCAGAGAGGGGGCCCTCCTCCTACCCATCCTGCCTTCCCGAGGTCCTCGAGGTTGGTTGAGGTGGAGGAGCTCGCCCGTCAAGAGACACCGACGAAGGAGTCGACGAACTCGTGGACGTCGAATGGAGGCCTACCCCCTCGCCTCGCAGGGGGACCCGCAGGGCTGAGGCCTACCCCCTCGCCTCGCAGGGGCTGCGTGTGGCCAACCCCCTCGCCACGCAGGGGTCGTCCTCCTCGGAGTCGGTCTGGTCCTCGTCGTCTGAGTCCGTGGCCGCGGAACCGTGCGCCGACCACTCGGCGGCCTCTGTGCGGACGCACTCTACGAGGTCCTCGCACATGAACATGGCCCTGTCGAAGTCGTCGCCGTAGGTCTCGCTCGAAGCTGCGATAAACAAGTCGAGGCCGTCCTTCCCTTGCACTGCTGTGAGTAGCGCGCGCACGCCAGTCTCAGCCTGGATGCAGCGGATGTTCCTGCTTTCCTCGCTGAGGAGACGGGATTGCCATGGGAAGTACTTGTCGAAGCTCTCGGTGCCGATGGGAATGCTGTGTGTCATGGTGACCTTCTGCTTGCCGATGTGGCCTAACCCCTCGCCACGCAGGGGTTCGCGGTGGCCTACCCCCTCGCCACGCAGGGGTCCGAATGAGTCGTCGTAGTCGATGCTGTCGCCGTTCTCCGCCTCGGAGCTCTTCGCCTCGCGGCGCTCGTGGCCTACCCCCTCGCCACGCTGGGGTGCGCAGTGGCCTACCCCTCGCCACGCTGGGGTTCGGAGGAATCGTCGTCGTCGAAGCTGTCGCCGTCCTCCGCCGCAGAGCTCGTCTCGTGGAGCTCGTGGCCTACCCCCTCGCCACGCAGGGTTTCCAGGGTGTCGTCGTCGTCGAAGCCGTCGCCGTCCCCCGCCTCGGAGACCTTCGTCCCATGGAGCTCGTGGCCTGCCCCCTCGCCTACCCCGGAAGAAACGAAGACGCCCTCGGAAGCAGTGCCCGTGGCACCTGAGCCGCTCGGAGCACCATGAAGAAGATGGTGTGCGGCCGATCGTGCTCTCCGCATTTGGTCCTCCACCTCCTCCTTGCTGGGCGGGGGGCGGAGGCTCGGCCGCCAGCTGGCGTAGGAGCGAAGGGCGCTATTGCCGACGTAGCCGTGCTCGTCGGTGTTGTCTGGATACAAGGACTGTCTCTCGTTGGCGGAAGTGACGGAGACGCCGATGCTGTCGGGGGCCGCCGCTCCCGTTGGGTGCGTACGGTTGCTCCTCTGGGTTTCTGGTGTCATGCGGCCACCACGCTTCTTGCCGTTCCCGCGGCGCTGGTTTTCCTTCGGTCTCGCGTTCAAGACGTGGATGGCCTGGTCGAAGTTGTGCTCGGCATTGTTTCTGGATGCCCGTCCAGCTCCGCAGATGTTCGGTTTCGGCCCGAACGATGCGGCCTCGACCTGATGCTTGATGACGGGCTCGATGTAGTGCATCCTCGCGTTGACCTCGCCTTGCAGAGGGTCGGCCGCGCCGACGAGTCTCCGCAGCAAGTCGTCCGTGCTTTGCCAGTTGTAAGTTGTGCCACCATTCTTCCCACCACGATAAGGGACGCTGAAGAGAGGCGATGAACGAAGCCTGCTCCTGCCCTTTCGTGCCGCTCGGACTGCTCTTGACCATGAGATGCTGGTTTCCTCGACGGGCTTCGCACACCCTTGCGTAGGCGCGCCTTGCCCGAACCTCGCTATTCCTGCCACTTGCCATGCCGTGCCTGGTTGAGCCAAGATGGTCGGGGCGCGCGAGGCGGCTTAAGCCAAACATGGCTACGGACTCCTCCTCCTCCTCCTCCTCCTCCTCCTCCTCCTCCTTCCTCCTCCTCCTCCTCCCCCTCCTCCTCCCCCTCCTCCCCCCTCCTCCCCCCTCCCCCTCCTCCTCTTCCTCCCTCCCCCTCCCCTCCTCCTCCTCTCTCCTCCTCCTCCTCCTCCTCCTCCTCCTCCTCCTCCTCTCCTCCTCCTCCTCCTCCTCCTCCTCCTCCCCTCCTCCTCCTCCTCCTCCTCCTCCTCCTCCTCCTCCTCCCCCTCCCCCTCCCCCTCCATGGCGGGTCCAGGCCCTTTGCGAGCAGTTGCCTCTGCGAGCAGCGGAGCGCGCTCGCCCAGCTCCTCCGCGCCGAGGGGGGCGCGGGGCCCCGCGCCCCGCAGGTGAGGTGGGAGTCGATGCCCTCCCTGAGGCCGCAGCTGCCGCCAGGCCGGGGCGCCCCCGGCCACGACCGCACGGCCGGGACGAGTCGGGAGCCCCGAGATCGGGGCTCAAGAGACGGGGGTCAATGCAGACGGGCGGTAGCCAGGGCGCCTGCTCTTTTGCAGTATTCTGCGACGACCCCCTCTGGCTGACCCGGGTCAGCGAGCCACTCGTGGCCGCGAGGCGGCCGCGCGCATATTAGCTGGCCCGGGTTGCGAAGATCTGCGTTGCAGTTTTTTTGTTTCTTGCATTGCAGCTTTTGGTTTTCTGCTGACCCGGGTCTGGATTGACCCGGGTCAGAAGATCCCCGAAGCGCACGGCCGGGACGAGCCGGGAGACAGGGGCCCCACGCAAACGGTCAGAGGAGGAGCAGGTACCCATAATTCTACCCCCTCGCCCGTGTTTCCTTTTTGGGCCTCCTGGGAGGCCCTCGTCGCCACCGCCAGATTCGCCTCGGAATCCTGGTCAGAACGCACCCCGGGAGAGGTCCGGGGAGTAGCGGTATCGGTACCTTCAGATTGCCCCAACCCCGGCGACCGGTTCAGGAAGATGGATCGGGAGCCTCGAGACGGGGGTCAATGCAAACGGGGGTCAGCCAGAGCGCTGGATCTTGCAGGATCCTGCAGGGGCAGGGTCGCATTGACCCGGGCTTGGGTGCAGGGTCCTGCAGGATCCTTCGCATTGACCCGGGTTTGGGTGCAGGATCTTGCAGGACTATGCAAAGCCTCACTGACCCGGGTCTGGATTGACCCAGGTCAGAAGATCCCCGAAAGATCGAAATGGGTACGGAAAGGTGGGGTACGATGCCCAACAGCAGTTCCTGTTCATTTTGAGCAGGGCTTGCTGTCCGCGCCGACGCGGGCGTTGAGCAAGGAGCCGCCCGCCCAACAGCGGCCGCTGTCTGTTCTGGACAACATTTACGGTTGGGCATTGTAACCATTTTTGCCGTACCCATTTCGTGCGTCCGAAGAGGAGCGGCCAAGCTCGTGGGGGGCGCGAAGTTGCTCTCACTTCGCGGATCGGCTCCGATTCTGGGTGGAATGAGAGAAGTGACATAAACATAACAACTCGGAGGCCCGCGCGGATGTCTCGGATCGGCGCTGGACCCCCTCGGCGGAGTCTCCAGCGCCGCCCCTGGCGCCAGGGAGGAGGGTCCAGCGCCGATCCGAGAATCATCGTGGACCTCCGATGTTGTATGTTTATGTCATTGTTCGTTCCCTTAGATTCCTCCTTTCCGGGCCTCCCGCATGGGGTCGAAGTGGATGGGGTCGGGGGATCGCACCGCATCGCCGATGCATCGGTGATGCGGTTCGATGCGGAGCCCGATTTCCTTCGCGCCCACGTGGCCGATGCATCGCCTGTGCATCGCCTGTGCATCGCCGATGCATCGGCGATGCGGCGCGATCCTCCGACACCATCTACTCAGACCCTATTTGTGAGGCCTCTAGACTCTTCGGCACCGCCTGCACCCCGGTCCCCGCCCGCTCCGGCCGCCTGAGGCCCCGCCCTCCTGTGCCCTGTCTCCCTAATTAAAGCTGTGCGTAGCCCGCCTAGCTTTTAGCGGAGGAGGTTCGCTCTCGCCCCGCCGACCAAACATTTGTGAGGCCTCTCGATTCCTCCTCAGCTTTCTCTTCTCCCCCTGGAGGGCGGCGCGAGAGCGCAAAGTTATTCGCGCCTCGCGCAGCGCGAAGCGCGAAATTAGGCGCCATTCGGGGGTGGACAAACCTCCTACCCTGACACGTCGATTAAGGAATTGGCCGTTTTCGGTTCGCGAGAGGGCGTCGCGGCCGTCATTTTTGCGGGTCCAGGTCCGTCGGTTTCGGTCCCAGGCCGTTTTCACTAAGGGGAGGTCTACTAAAGGGAGGTTTGTCCACCGCCGAGCCATTGGTTCGGGACGATCGAGATTGGTACATATCAAGTGGTGCACAGTGTAGCAGCAGTGTTCGTTCATTCTGTACAGGGTTCGCTGCCGATGAGGCTGCGGTCGTTGTCCATTCGAGGCAGAAGGCCGCCTGCCCAACAGCGGCCGCCGTCGGTTTTGGACGGCATTTGTTACTGGGCGTCGTACCTATTTTTCCGTATCCATTTCGGGCGTCCAAGCTAGTCTCTTTTCGTACAGACGATTAGTGGGACCTGTGCAGGATACAGTTCTAATTTGCCAGTCAGAAGCGTCCACGGACACATCAGGTGTCGTTACGTGCATGGACACACGCGGGGTGAAAATGTCTATAGACAACGCGGCCGTTGCAGTCGGTGCAGTGCAAGGTCGGAGAAGGGTAGATCCGGCTACGGCATGTTCCTGTCAGTACCAGCGATTGAAAGAAGTAGAAAAGCGATATTCCCACTGCCGAGGTGCGCTCTCAATAGACAGCAAGTCTGTCCTGCTAAGGTGACTGATCCCTCGGCACAACATTTTCGAAGAGGAAGGAGAGGAGGGCGGGGGGAAGAGGAGGCACCGGGAGGTGAGCTCGTGGGTTATCCCTCAGATCACGGGCAACGTGCGGGGGGGGGATCGAAGTTCCCGGGAGTGACTCTGGAGCCTCTGCCTGATCGCGTACCGATGGGAGTCCACCTCCGCCGCAACCTACGATCGCTTGCCGCGTCTCTGGGCCATCCCAGGCCTTGCGGAGAGCTCTGGGGCCAGAGCCCCACGCCTTAGTGAGGGGGCCGTCTACAGGAAGGGGGGGCCACCCAAAAACGCTAACAGCCAGGCCGGGGGGCACAACTAAAATGTAATTTTCAAAATTACGTTTTTGTCCGAAGGCATGGTTTGGAAAATACATAATTATGGTTTGTTGTTGTTTTTGCCCTGAAGGGCTGTGCGTGCTTGAATTCAGAAATCGTGATTTTATTGTGGGAAGGCTTCGCCTCTTTCGCCCTTCTGGAAGTGTTGTTGCACGATGAACGCCACGTGCGAAACATGTTTGTGGGGAGTTCCGTGTGTAGTTTCATTCGCGGTTGATCGCGTAGTTGGTTTCGTTACTGTTCGTATCCATCACGGTCCACCCAGCAATAGTACCCAGGCGAAATGTCTTGATCTGGGAAGTGCGGGAACATTCCGTGTAACGAAGAGAAATTGATGGGGAAGCCGTCAAACTGAATTTCGTGGGTCAGCCTGGGCACGCCCGGGCGTGAATGCACATTCGCGGCCCTTGCCGAAACAGGCAGGGCGCAGAAGAATGATGAGGAGGCGGGGGAGGGGGAGGCGGGGGGGGGGAACACGAGGAGGACGAGGACTAAAAGGAAGAAGGGGGGAGCGACGGGAGAAGCAGGAAAGGGGCGAGCAGAAGTATGATGACATTGACTGCGCAAGCTTTGGGGGGGAGGAGGAGGAAGAGGAGGGGGAGGAGAAGGAGGAGGGGGATGAGGAGGAGGAGGAGGAAAGGAGGAGAAAGAGGAGGAGGATTGGGCGAGGAAGAGGAGGAGGAGGAAAGGAGGAGGAGGAGGAGGAGGAGGAGGAGGAGGAGGAGGACGAGCGTACAACGCGCACGCGCGCGTGCGCGCGAGGTGTGATTTCTGCATTGTTCTCAGCGGTCTGGCAACGAAGGGGCTTGGAAACGAAGGGGTTCTTGGGCGGTGACCGAATGGGTGTTCCAGGTAGCGCGGGGCTGCGGCGCGCCAGCCAGGTGGCTCAGCGCGCAACGCGCCCGCGCGCGCGCGCCGGCGCGAGCTGTGAATTCTGTATCATTTATAATAGAAGTGCCGCAATGTTGGCATGGAAGCTCAAGTGGTCCCCTAGCGGAGACCGATTGGATTTCCGATTTATCATGGGTTTGTAGCGCGTCGGTGAAGTGGCTCAGCGCGCAACGCGCCCACGCGCGCGCCCGCGGGCGCGAGCTGTGAATTCTGTGTTATCCACAAAAGAAGGGCAGTCGTGCTGTCCTGGAAACTAAAGTGGCCCCCCAGCGGTGACCGACTGGATTGTCAAATTTACGTGGGGATGTAGCATGTCGGCCAAGTGGCTCAGCGCACAAGTCGCCCGCGCGCGCGGGAGCGAGCCGCCGTTCTGCGTTATCCAGAACAGAAGGGCCGCCACGGTGGCTTGGGAGTTCAAGCAGCCCCTTAGTGGTGGCCGATTTCTTTTTCCAATTTATCATGCGCATCTAGCGTGTCGGCCAAGTGTCTCAGCGCACAGCGCGCCCACGCGCGCGCGCGTGAGCTGTGAGTTCTAACCGCAATAGCAGGGCCGCCATGCTGGCCTGGGAAGTCAAGCGGCCCATTAGCGGTGACCGATTGAATATCCGAGATAGCTCGAGTTTGTAGCGTTTTGGTTAAATGGTTCAGCGTGCAACGGGCCCACGCGCGCGCGCGCGCGCGCGCCCGCTTGCGCTCGCGCGCGCGAGCTGTGAATTCTGCATCACCAACAATAGAATGGCCGCCGTGTTTGCTTAGAAACTTAAGTGGCCCCTTAGCGGTAACCGACGGACTTCCAAGTTGGCAGAAGGTCGTAGCATGCCGGTTAAGTTGTGCAGCGTACAGAGCGCCCGCGCCTGCGCGCGCAGGCGCGAGCTGTGAACTCTGTATTCTCCGCAATGCAAATGCCGCCACGTTGGCCTGAGAACTCAAGTGGCCCCTTAGCGGTGGCCGATGGTATTTTCCATGTTTAACAAGGGGTTTGTAGCATGTCGGCCAAGTTGCCCAGCGTGCAAGGCGCCTCGCGCGCGCGCCCGCGCGCGCGCGCGAGTTGTGAATTGTCGTACTACCCGCAGTGGAAGGGCCGCCATGTTGGCCTGCACACTCAAGTAGCCCCTTTGCGGTGGCTTCCAGCATGTCAGCCAAGTGGCTCAGCGCGCAACGCGCCCGCGCGCGCGCGCGGGCGCGAGCTGCGAACCCTGATCCAAAGTAGAAGGGCCGCCGTGTTGGCTTGGATCCCCGGATTGATTTCCAGGTTAGCATTGGTTTGTGGCGCGTTGGCCAAGTGGTCCAGCGCTCAACGCACCCACCCGCGCGCGCGCGAGTTGCGACTTCTTGGATCACTTGGTTACCCATAATAGAAGGGCCGCCAC